TCAAAAAAACGAGTCGGTCACTGATCCCCGGTGAAGTTTATCATATTTTTGCTATTTTTCTTCTCGGTTTGGATGGTCATATTTCTCACGTGAATAAAGCTGGATTAAAAACGGCAAGTGATACCTTTTATTTTCAATCTACAATCTCAGTTCTAAAATCTCCACAGACTAGGACATAAAAGAAAAGCCTTTAATCCTCGTTTAAAGAAGCCATCAGTTCAATCTAAATTCTTTGAACAAAAAAAAAACCCAAACAAAAAAGACTAAAAAACTATCAAGTTAGATTTTTCCATAATTACTTTCACTCAAACATTTGAACTGAAGATACATGATACATTTGCACGGGGGGTATAGTGTTTGTGTTTCTGATTTCAAGACGCTATCATAGAATGGTCCCTGGAGGAAGTGCACAACTTCATTTCATTCTATACCACAATTCTTCGGTTAATTTTCTCTTATAGCCAACTGATAAATAATTGTGCTCTTTTTGTTTGTAAATGAGAAAGGTGTCATTTTGCCCTTTTTTGTGGTTTTGGGGATGTTTGAGTCAGTTTCATTGTGGTGTTTGAGATATGCAATGAAATTTAAACATTTTGATGTTGGAATGGAGTTCCAGTCAACTTTGGAGTCCGGATGCTGTCTGTGTGGAAACAGAAAGGGAGAGACAATGTACTTAAAGATGATTCAGTGCCTCTAACCCCCCCCCCCCCCCCCCGAGAATGACAAAATCAAATCAAATGCTCGTCATTCTGGTCACAGACAGCAGATGGCGACAGAGACACGGCCTGACTCTGCTGTATGCAGCTCTGGCAAACTTTGGAAATGCAGCCTTTTTTTAAACAAGCTGTCTGCTGCTTAACATCTGCTGACGTCTGTATGCACATAAAATTCTGTCATTAACATTCAGTTCGGCCTGTGTGTCTGACAGCTGAATCAGCCTTAATACCAAGTTGTGATCCAGCGGCAATTACAGGTCCAGAGCTGCACATCCACATTGATTTACTCAATCTTTATAACAGATGAGTATGACTAAACTTGCTAAGTTGTAAAAATGTAAAAACAATGTAAAAATAATAAACAATACAAAATTAATCAAATCAGCTTTCTATTTTGCCTATTTATATGCAAGGCTTCTTGTTTTCTTGGGTGCTGGTATACATCCCACAGGCAATAATTATTAATTAATGGCAGCCAATTGAAAGGTAAATCTGCCTCATGCTGCATGGAAGGTTACACTCGTTTCATGTCTGGTGTGTAGTTAATGTTGAAGCATCACATCGAGAGCCTGGAAATTCAGCAGACAGAGAAAGACTTCATGCGGGATGCCGAGGGTGAAACACACCTGCAAGCTTTAGTTCCAGATCTTGAGGAAGCTGTCCCAGGACCCGGTGGCCACTGCCATGCCATCGTCGGTGACGCCCAAGCAGCTGACGCGGTTGTCATGGCCAGCCAGGACACCTAAGAACACGGCACCAGTCAGACCAAGAGCGGGATACAGCCTCTACCATCATTTAGGCCAGTGATTCCCAATCCGGTCCTCGGGGGCCTCCAGACAATCCACATTTTTGCTCCTACCGGGAGCTGAGAGGGAGCAAAAACGTGGGCAGTCTGTGGATCCCCAAAGACTGGGTTGGGAAACACTGATTTAGGCTAAAATCCAGGTAGTTAATGGCACCATCTCCCTGGTCTGCTGGTGCAACATAGCCTGATTGGCATCTCTTAAACAAGGTTACTATTAGTCAGAAACGCTGAGGCACGAATGAGGGACACCGTTGTCCCTGTGAATTGGTAGGAAAATCCAGGTGTGTCGACAGGCATCATGAAAAGGGCCATTTCACTTTATGCAGGACATGGAGAACATCAGAGAACGTTAATGACGATGGTGCTTCGAGGAGGTTACACGTCACAATAACAACCAGAGTGTGCACAGCAGGTTGTGTCAGGTCATCCTAAATCATTGTCGTATTTCTGAAGGCTGGAGGAGCAGTGCCAAAAAAAGAGTTCGTTGCTCACTGTACCAAACCCGAACATCATCCGCACACCTTGGGAATCTTTAGTTCCAAGAGGCTGGTAGCCAGCGTACCTGATGCCTCTCGGCAAGGAGGAGAGGACTCACCTGCACGGTCAGCCTTCAGGCTGTCCCACACGTTGCAGTTGAAGTCGTCGTATCCGGCCAGCAGCAGCCGGCCGCTCTTGGAGAACGCCACAGAGGTGATGCCACAGATGATGTTGTCGTGCGAGTACACCATCAGCTCCTGGTCGGCGCGGAGATCGAAGAGCCTGCAGGTGGCGTCGTCTGAACCCGTGGCGAAGGCGTTGCCGTTGGGGAAGAACTGCAGTGGTAGTGCAGGTGGGATTAGCTCAAGGCTTCTAGGTGGTTAAGGCTCCCGTTACCTCTCCTGTCCCCTGGACACGCCCACTGGACACGCCCACACTACTGTGCCAGTGGCTGAACGTTAAAACATGCAGAGCCGGGCTGCCTGGAGCCACGCCCCAATGCTCTAAATCACACGATCAGCACCGCTGAATTACTGCTAATTAACAGCACACACACAGAGTGAGGCCATTCATCATGGTATATCGTATATAATACTGAGGTGATACATCAGGTAAGGCAGCGGGTTGATATATTGAATATACAACTGCCATCACGTAAAATTACCCCAACATCAATCAAGTACTACGAATTTTCAGTCGCCTTCCATACGTTATATATCTGACAAATTCACAGGCTGATCTGCAGTACCTGTACAGGACATTTCCAGTACCAAGAGTTAGATACCTGTATACCTTATACTGCTGTACTGCCGTAAATGTCAAGACAAACAAGCCAGAAAATGCCGGATCTCAGGAATCCCAACACGCCACGTCTGTCTCTGCACACGGCAGGGAACCAACGGGAATGGAGGGCAGAAGAGGACAAGGAGAGACGTACGCAGATGGCGTTGATGTCGGACTCGTGGCCGGTGAAGGTCTGCCGGCACATGCCTTCCCGCACGTCCCACAGCTTGGCGGAGGCGTCGCAGGCGCCGGACACGAATAGCCGGGAGTCGGGCGCCAGAGAGAGGCTCATGACGTCACCGGTGTGGCCAGCGAAGGTGGTCGTTTGTTGCCCAGTCTCGATGTCCCACAGGGCGCTGCG